CTCTCTCTCTCTCTCTCTCTCTCTCTCTCTCACTCTCTCTCACTCTCACACACACACACACACACACACACACACACACACACTCACACACACACAAACACACATATACACAAGGTACTTTACACAGATTTCCTATTTGGCTAGGTTCTTTCGCAGATGGGCGTTGAACTCGGAGGCCCAGCCTCTTAAATAATCTAATAGTAATAGTATTGACAGGGCCGTTAAACCTATACCATTTCCCATTTTAAAAATATCTCACACACATGCACACACACACGCACACACACACATATATATGCACAGACACACACACACATTCACACACACACATGCACACACACATGCCCACACTCATGTAACAACTCTTACGCCAAGTAGTCCTTAAACTCTTCATGTGTCCTCCTGTTCTGAGGCGGTAGCTGGCTGGAGCGCAGCCCATTCACTCCTGTCATTCTCTCTCTCTCTCTCCCTATCTCTCTCTCTCTCTTCTCTCTCTCTCTCTCTCTCTCAATCTCTCAATCTAAGTGAGGACGCAACAACACTCACGCCAAATAGTCCTTAAACTCTTCGTGTGTCCACATATTCTTTGGTGGCAGCTCGCTGGCACGCAGCTCGCTCATTCTTTTCATTCTCTCTCTATCTCTCTCTCTCTCTTTGTCTGTCTTTCTCTGAGAACAAGCCAACACTCACGCCAAATTATCCTTGAACTATTCGTGAGTCCACATGTTCTCGGGCGGCAGCTCGCTGAAGCACAGCCTATTCTTCTCATATTCTCTCTCTCTCTCTCTCTCTGAGTAATGCAAGGACCCTTCTTCCTCTAGCAGAGATGGTGAAAATGTGTGTGTGAGTATAAGTGTGTATGTGAGTGTGTGCGTGCGTGCTTGCCTGCGTGCATGCGTATGTGCGTGTGTGTGTGTATGCGAGCCCAATGTATGTGAAATATTCGATGTGCTGCATCAATGTACGTAATTGCCGAGCCATAGGTTAAAATGTGTGGATGTATGGGCCAAAGGCCTTTCAAATCAATAAATCATTTTTTGAAATCTTGAAAAGCCATCTCTCCCTCCCTCACTCTAAATCTAAAAGAGGACTCAACAACACTCACGCCAAATAGTCTTTAAACTCTTCATGTGTCCACATATTCTCGGGCGGTAGCTCGCTGGCTCGTGGCCCATTCTTGTAGTGTTTCTGGATGGCGTTGTTGGAGAGGTGGATGCTCTGGTCGAAGTCGTCCAGCGTGAACTGCTGGGAGCAGAACCTCAGGTAGCTGTCCTGGTAGAACCACAGGGTGAGGGGGTTCCAGTCCGTGACCAGGAACCACTGGCGGATGTCAAACTTGGTGTTGTAGACCAGCAGCGGACGCTCTGGGGAAACATTTTGTAAACGTTTTACACAAAACAGGGTGCGGGGTGAAGCGGTTAGTGCACTCGTCTCCGAAGCCAAAGTCTGGGTTCGGACACAGATTTTTTTGGACACCTCTTGCTCACCTAGCAGTAAAGGGTGCCTGACTTCGAGTTGGGGAAGTAAAGGCGGTGTGGAAAGGAACTGGCCACCCTTCCACAATATGCAGAAGTCCAAGGAAGTTGTCTCACTAACCAGGCAAGCCCCAATGTACGGATCGGAAGCGGGAACAATTTTGTTAAACAAAAATTTGTTTTAGTAACAGTTTTACAGCACTTTCAACACAACTTGAGTCATATAAATGCCAAAGATTAGAGGTGTTACCACAGAGTAGCAAACACAAAAAAGAAGGAAGGGAAATAAAGACAATAGATTTTTGATAGGAAAGAAGAAGCAAATCACACCAGAGCACCCGACAACCACCCACCTCTGGGTAAAGGTATTGTAAACGTCTTACACAAACATTTGTTTAAGTAACAGTTTTACAACACTTCCCACAAAATTTAAGTCATATAAGTGCCAAAGATTAGAGGTGTTACAAGACAGTAACAAACACAAAAAAGAAGGAGCAGAGATAACTTATAAGGATTACAGATGTTTGCTAAAAAAAAAACCCCAACCAATTTACAAGGGTGCACAAACCTCTGTAAGCCTTATCTTCACCCCCCCGTCCCCTCAAAAAACAAACCAAAAATTTTTGTTAAAACCCATTCCCTAATGAGCTTTGCATTCATGATAAAACATGATAATAAAAATTATCAGTAAAACTGCCAGTGAAGCTTCGGGCAATGAGCAGATGGAAAAACCAACAAGATTCTGCAGGCACACGGTCAGCGACCAACAACACTTACCAATATACTTCTGCACCACATACTTGCTGTCCTTCTTCACAACCTGACTGTTGACTAGTTTGAGCATGTCCTCCAGTTTCTCATAGCAGACGATACCTGAGGAAATTATAATGGGTGGAAGAAAGGTTTAGCTTAATTTCAGTGAAAGTTTAAAGGCACTTGCAACACAATTAGGTCATATAACTACCGAAGATCAGAAATATTACAAGAGAGTAACATACAAAAAAAAGAAGCAGGAATGATGAGGATGATAGATGCTTGACATGTGGAAATGTCTTGGACAATGCCAGTATAATGTTAACAAAAAAGCAAGGGGGGGGGGGTAAAGGGAATGGGAAGGAGTTGTTTATATGGACGATTGTCTTGGACAGGATACCATTAGAGCGTAACTGTATGCAGTTAATTATCTCTCTTTTGCATTTCAGTCTTTTTCTTTGAAGAATGTCAAATATTCTCACAAGTGAGAGGAGGGAGAAAGAGGAAGATTCCGGCACAGACAGGAGTCTGAACTCACCTCTGCCCCGAGACTTTGCCCCAGGTTTGACGATCCAAACATTGCGGACGCCGTCCATTTCGAGCTGTGGCCAGTGACCGCCCAGACGACGCACCAAGATCTCACACTGACCGAGCAGGGCTGTTGGGATCCGCGAGAAGTTTCCATCCTCACTGCAGAGATCATGCAAAGTACAATGGTGTTAAATTGTCAAATAACTCACCCAAACCTTAAAAAGACAGACATTTTTTATTAGTTCTAGCACCTTGCAATGCCTATAAAAATGAACTAGGATTTACTGGATTTTGCATTGTATTATGTGCAGTTGTTAACTTCGTAAAAATTAATGCAGAATATTAAACCAAATTTTGAAACTATAAATAGAAATGATCTTTCTTAAAAGCATAAAGAATAAATGAGGTATCATTAGTACTAAATTCAGCATGTCTAAGACATATTGTATACATCAAATTCAAACTATTAACTCTAATTTAGTTTTAACGCATTACAATAGTGATGGCGAGTTGGTATTGTCAATAGAAACTCAGTTTTCATTGAAGAGTTTCTATGTCAAAATCTATTTAAAACATTTATCTCCGGCAAGCCGTTCCCAGTGGCTCGCGGTCGGAACCAATGTGCCGGTGAGTCGCTGACAGCGGCTCGGGCACATTCCTTTACGACGACTTCAACATAAAATTACTTTCCTGCAATTGGTCTCTTATACCGGAAGTTCATTCATTTGATGAAGAACTATCAAAATAGGTTTGCTTGCTTAAATTTAATGACCCATTTAAAGACGTATTTGTCATTTCTAGATTTAGCACCAAAAAAGGGCCCCGGCGTAGTTGTTTATCCCCCCTCGGAGATAAAGAGTTTAACAACTAAGATTAGCACATTTCATTACTGAATTTTAAGAAATTTCCCATAGAATGGTGTTCTGTAATGATATGGGACATAATCCATAATCCACCACAGTTGCATGTCGATTATACTATCAGTTGTTTCCTAGACGGTTAGAGAACTCGCCGCCTTATCCTAAGTAGGTCACGGGGAGATAGAGGCCCAGCGCAGACAACGTGTAGTGCAGAAGTGAGAGGGTGAGAGAGAATCACGTCGTGAGCTTGATTAAAAAAGTGTCCAAAATTACGGCATTTACGGAGTATTATTTCTTTAACACAATTATTACTTTCGAAAGGGCATCGAAAATAAGTATTAATGCTTTAATTGAAAAAAAAACAACACTTAAATCATAGTAAGAGAACGTCTAATAGCGGAGATGGATGGAGAGAGAGGCAGGCAGTCGTACAAGTGTGAAGGAAAGCATTGAGGTAACTATGTTGCGTGTTTGTTAAGCGGTAAACATAAATAGAACAATATTTAAAATGTTGATCAAGCAAGGCTTTACAATCTTGCAAGCACATGCCACAAACACAAACAAATAGAAACAGGCAGTGGTCGTGATGCACACGCAAAGGGTTAATATTAATTATCATTGTTTTGATTATAACAGCTGCTGCACTTGGCGGTCACTTGGCACAACAATGCGCCGGTTGCGCCAGGACTGAAAAGTCTGTTGCAGTCGCTCTCCTGGCTGGGTGACCAGATTGGGTATTTTGTAAGGCCGGCTGTGTGGCTGCAAAGTGTCAAGAGCTTATTTATTAGAGAAGAGAAGTAATCACTCACTGAACCAGTTTGTAGTACCACTGTATGAGGTCGTCCCACTGACCATCTGTAAGCTGACCAATCTGGAAGAAGAGACAACAGCACAGTCTTAATTATGTTCCAAAACAGCACAGTGTTAACTCTTTAAACCTTGAGTTTTTTCTACAGTCACCTAAACCTGGTACACTATGTCTCATTACAACCCCAAAAGCTTTCCTCCAACTATTAAATGGCGGAAACGAAGGCTTAGTCATTGCTAAAAAAACCTGTTTCGTGAATAGTTCAGAAAAATAAGCAAAAACTAGCGCTAAATAAATCAAAACAGTTGTCACAAGTATCGGACACTACCAGCGTCTGATGGGGAACAGGGTTATTACCGCCGGACGCTCCCAGCGTCTGATGGGATTTAAAGAGTGAACTCTCAGTACATGGCGCACCAGTACAGCTGCCACACAGCATTGTTCCGTTGTATCAAAGATCGTATACATAACAAGATAGCTCACTCCTCTCTTTGAGCCAATTAAAAAGTGTCCTCAAAATTCGGTGGCGCCCCCTTCGAAAAAGTGCGGACTTTGAGAACAGAGTCCCCCTACTTGCGTGAAAAACGATAAAAGCGAAACTAACAAACGGTTCTATTCCTGTTCTTCTTCTGGAGAAACGAAAGAGAGCTGAAAAAAAAAAGACTGCAGCGCCATCTGAAGCAATACGTGGACTTCCGTGGACCCTTTTTTTTGGCCATGTGAACTAAATCTTGTCAAGAACGATCTTTGGTTGTATAAAGTCATAACAAATATTAGCAAAACCCCAGAAAATCCATCACGTCTGTCAAATCATACGTTTATTGCGCAGATCAATCATTTCTTCTCAGTTTGGTGCTTGTTTTATGCAATTGAATCAAACAGCTGCAGAGCTTTGTAGGGAAAGTTTGTGAAGCTGAAGAATCCGATGATCAAACTGTTGGCAGCGAGTTTTGTTCGACATTTATAAACCTTGTAGCATGTTCATCATTAAAAAGGATAGGTTTCAAGCTACAAGTATATTTTATCCACTAAAACTTTAAGAAAAGAATGAAGATTTGGTATATGAAGCTATAGTAATTGTACAGGCAAGCAGGTATTTCTTTTTAAAGAGGAAAACAATTTATAACAATGGAGCAGCATCTCGCCGATAGATGTACCAAATGCTAAGAGTTCAAACGATCAAGAAAAACCAATTTAAAAAAATGTAATGACACTAAAAAGAAAGGTTAAAGAGAGTACAAGGCCAAATTGAATTGAAGCAAACTGTGATGCCTCATTATGGTTCGGATACACATGGATAGTTCAGCACAACAACCATGCAAAGGAATCAGCAACTGACCACATGGGATGTTTATGAGACTACTGAATCTTAACTTTAATTGTTCACCCTGAAGAGTGCCAAAGTAATGAATTTTAACAAGGAGACATAACTATGGCAATTAACGATAGTGAACCAAACATAATTTTCGCTCATTTAACAGATATTACAGAGACATATTTCACAAACCTCCCCTGGAACGTCGATATCTTCGTGCTCCTTGGAGGCCAGGAACTTCTCGCACTGGTACATGGCGGTCTCCAGGACTCTGACTGGCACCGTCACCTGTGGCTTCTTCTTCTTCTTGTTCCCTCGCTGGATCACTGGGTAGCCTGAGGGCACACGTGAGAATATAGAAATTCTCTACACAAATGAAGTGACTCCCTCAGAGACAGTGGAACATCATCTGTTCTTCTGTGGAAAACTAACCGATTTGAGAGGATGTTTTCTTCCCAAGCTACCCCACACATCTAATTGCCTCTACTTCTCAAGACAACAATTAGAACAGATATGCAGCTATTATAGAATGGCATCATGCAGAAGAGTTAACGCTCAGATGCTACTGGATCGCTAACAACAACAACAACAACAAATGAAATGACTACGCATATAATGAGACTGTGAATCATCACCTGTTCCACTGCACAGCCCTAAATGACATCGGAGCTACCCTTCTCCCTCCGAGACCTAACATTGACAACACACTCTATGGAACATTACAGCAACTGCAGCAAAGCTGCACTTATCACTACATGGCATTGGACAGAAGGGAGAGAGCCCAACTTGCTGGATCGATAACAACAACAACAACAACAACTACACAAATGAACACCTTCACAACAAAATGAAGCAAACGCCATTTTCAAAGTTTAGCCGTTAACTAGCACTGTAGTATATGGAAAGGTGAGGAACATTCTAGAGTCTGCTTTTTTTCTTCACAAAACTCCATTTTACATCTATTACAACTGCAGAAAGTTACTCTTTTTTTAAAAAAAAACGCGACAAATGTGATAAACCTTTTTTGACAAACCACGACATATTCACTGCCTGTCAATCATGCTCTTTCTTTGAGTCACCTGACTTCACTTGAGGTTGATGAAAGTTTGTCGGCAGTTCTTTCCTTTCCTTAGCATTGTTGTAATCAGGATATGTCGCATTTCGTCAAAAATGAGAGGAGATCTCATCAATTTAAAGGATAAGAACCTAAAATAGATTTCATCATGCAGCAAACATCAACTAAGCCTTACAACATGTGGTCGCTTTTAAGGACAAGCGGGCTAACCCAGATTTTGGGGGCTTCCAGAAATCTTAACCTTCCCCAAAAGTGGGCATTGCCCTACCTATAGGAGAAGTTTGGTTTCATTGGTATGTATATTTGTTTAGTTATAAAGAAAACTGCCCTTGTCTTTTCAAGAAACTGAACAAGAGGCAAAAACTTTATCATCGATTTTCTCAAAACAGCGTTTTTCAGGATAGCCCATTTGTGCTTAAAAGCGACCATGTATACTCTAAAAACAAAGTTGCTCAAGTTTATATAGTGAGTGGGTGAAGAACAGAAATTTTCATTTTTCTCAAAGCTGGATAAATGGATGTGTCCCGTTTTGTTGCAAAACTGTTCATTTGCCCTTAGACATTAGAACTGCTATTATATTCACTCTAGGACAAAAAGTATACAGTCTCCCCCTCTATCTATGCTCTATTTGGTTTTCTATGAGATGAAGACAGCGATGTATACATTTTAGGAACATTTGACTCTGCATTTAACCCTATACGTACGCCCTGGGGTCATTTTGTACCCCCAGGGTTGTATTCTTCACATATTAGAATACTTCTAGTGCGAAGACCTTGTTGAAACTTTCAGTATTTCTCAAAAAATCATTTTGGCAGACTGCTATTCTAAGTGTACGGATCGGATTAATGAGTAAATTTCCTCTTTGGAAAGTGGTGACACAGAGTTCCTCACGTCGTATGGATACAACAGTAAAACACGACGTACGGATATGGTTAAATAAGTTTTCCTTTTACTCACAAAACCTCCCCACCCCCATCCCCCCAAACCCAGAGGGGGTTGAGTAAGGAAACAACTCACAAACTGCGGACCTTGCATGATGGGGATAATGCAATCGAGACGAGTGGTAATCAGATCAGAGACTTTTTTTACAGTGACAATGATGAGTTTCTAAACATGCATCAGTATTTTAGTTCTTTTACTTTGGTATTCAGGAAATAAAATGAGCAACTTTTTGGTGATAGTGTCAGCTGGCCATGAAAAAGTTGGTGCTTCTTATCTAGGCAATGATGTGTGGCTGGTGTTAACTTTTGACTCACCCTCATCCTCGGCAGTTTCATTCTCCGACACAACGGCCGGCCGCTTGCTCTCAACCTCAGGCTTGGGGCACACGCATTTGTTGGCAGCTTTGGAACCAGGTCGTGACCTTGTGCACTCAGGATTGCTGCAGGGCTGTGAGGTTCAGACGTGGAGTTTTGAGTGAACAGAAGCAAATCTCCACACAAAGCGCATTATAAGCACAATAATGGTCTTTAGTTTTAGTTTTAGTAGGAGTTTTACAGCACTTGCAACACAATAAGGTCATATAAGAGCCGAAGATTAGAGGTGTTGCAAGAGAGCAACAAACACAAAAAAGAAGGAGGGGAGATAAGGACGATAGATTTTTTATAGGAAAGAAGGAGAAAACAAGACCAGAGCATCCGCCAACCACACACGATGATGGTCTTAAAGAGCCATGGAAAAGTAACACAGACAGATAGACAGAAACAAGAAAAGGAAATAAAAGACGTAGGATTTACCCGTGACACCCCCCATTCACACACAGACAGAGAGAAAGACCAGAAGGAAAGAAAGAAAGTATAGCCTACCAGTGGCCCCCCTCCAAACACACACACAAGACCAGATGTGAGCAAAGTTGAGATTAACTGCAGTTTGCAGTGATTAAAAAGAAAGTCTGAGTAAATGTAGTATACAAAATAAAAAACAAATAACCCTATTCATGAAAAAGACTTCAGTTCTATACAGGCAAGAAATATAATAATAATACATAGCATTTGTATAGCGCATATCCCCGCTCAACAGGAAGCTCTATGCGCTTTACACTATATCATTACCCCAGCAGACCATAGAACAATCCGAAACATTCTCAGACTCCTGGGAAGCATACAGTGCAAGCAGCTGATTAAGCGCTCAAACACTAACAGACTGACAAGATCTTTCGCTGTCTATAGCCGGGTACCCATTCCCACCTGGGTGAAGAGAGGAAAATTCGTGTAAAGTGCCTTTCCCAAGGACACAACGCCCGGCCCCTGACGGGATTCGAACCAACAACCTTACGGTTGCGAGTCCGAGAGCCTAACCACTAGGCCATCGACGCCACACAAATATCAAATTAATAATAATAAATAGCATTTGTATAGCGCATATCCCTGCTCAACAGCAGGCTCTATGCGCTTTACACTATATTATTACCCCAGCAGACCATAGAACACTCCGAAACATTCTCAGCTTCCGCGGAAGCATACAGTGCAAGCAGTGGATTTCACGTGCTCAAACACTATCAAACTGACAAGATCTTTCTCTGTCTATAGCCGGGTACCCATTCCCACCTGGGTGAAGAGAGGAAAATTTGTGTAAAGTGCCTTTCCCAAGGACATAACGCCGGGCCCCTGATGGGATTCGAACCCACAACCTTACGGTTGCGAGTCCGAGAGCCTAACCACTAGGCCACCGACGCCACACAAATATCAAACTGAACAAGACTTTAAGTTTAAAAATAGTATTTGTATCATTCCTTGAAAGCCAATATGTCTTCTCATAGCATTCTGTCTTTGATCAATTGTGCAAAAAGTAGTTCAAGTTTCATGCCCACCTTGACACAATTTTTGAGGCATCATGGTGAAATCAAGCGCTCGTCAAAATAATGAAATCGAATATCTCGGCATTTTTCCCCCAGTTTGACAATTTTTTTCTAATTTTTGTTTTTTGGCTCAACACCTTTTATGTCAATTTAAAAACATTTTTGTGTGGATTTTACTGAAAAACATGGATTAAAGGCACAACAAAAGTAAATGTTAATTTTCCAAGGACTCTCAAGCTTTGTAAATCACCAAACTTTGGCGGCCATTTTCTCGCTAATTTTACCTCTAAAACCAGGCGACCCCCACCTCTTTCAATCGTAAATATCTTGACGTCTATTCAAGATAGGCATGTATTTTTTTTTTCATCAAAAGATGGTCAAATGAACATGCTTTAAAATGATACCAATTACTCCATATGTACAAAAATTGACGAGCTCCTGATTCTACCGCGAGGTGACATATTTTGAAGAATAAGGAGACCAGGCTATATCACGCCAATTTGTCAGGACCAACGCATAAACTATGTGAGGCGCTACACAAAAGCAGAAGGATGGAGATACTTGACAAACATACATTGAACTTGCTTGTGCTCTAATATTCACCTGTCCAAGACAATCACCTGCACAAATAACCACTTCACACTCCCCCCTTTTGCAATTTTTCTTTATCATAAAGACACTGTCCAGGACTTCTACCTCTTTATCACTTTGCCATCACAAGGCTCATATAGCAAAAACCCTTGCCATCACAAGCATTTAGGAGGAAATCCAAAGAAACTGGGTGGTAAACATAGTCGATCGGTGTTTTGTGACGGGAACGGAAGTTCGGCGTTCTTGCCGAATAGCGAGATGTGACGGCAAAGTGTTAGGACAACAGCATTTCTCCTCAGATATGGATGGTTATTTATACAGGCGGTCGTCTTAGACAGGTGGCTGTTAGAGCAAGTTTAACTATTAAAAAAAATAAAAATTCATGCAGGCAAACTTACTGGGTTTTCCCCATTTTCTTCCTCTTCTGTGATTTTAGCAGCCGAGTCTGGTGTATCCCCTCCACCAGCCCTCCCCTCCATGCTCTGGCTCAGCGCCATCTTGACAATGCTCATGCACGCAGTCAGCCGGTAGTCATCTGTGTTGGGTAGTCGAGGGAAAAAAGATAAATTTAACTATAATATAATAAATGATATATTATGATATCATTTATTAAAGAACACAAGCTCAGGAAACCTTACAAACACAAACAGCAACATATAATCAGTACATTGCATTTTGATTAAAAATCAGGATAAATATTCGCTTTAATCTAAAAATCAGAAAACCAGGGCCTGTGGTATAGTGGTCAGGCTTTGCATATATGGGGCATGGTGGTGAAATCAGGTGCTCGTCAAAATAACAAAATTGAAGAAATCGGCATTTTTGGGCCAGTTTGGATTTTTTTTTCTTCAATTTTTTATTTTTGGCTCAGCACCTTATATGTCCATTCAAAAACATTCTTACTAGTGGGTTTTATGGAAAAACATTGATTAAAGGCAAGAAAAAAGTAAATTGACAGTTTCCAAGGACTCTTGAGTTATGGAAGTCACCACATTTTGGCGGCCATTTTCTCGTTAATTTTACTCTGAAACCAGGTGACCCCACCTCCTTCAATGGCAAATATCTTGACTTCTATTCAAGATAAATGGTTATTTTTTTTCATCAAATTCAAGACAAAAGAAGAACCTTTAAGATGACATCAATAACTCTATTTACCCAAAAATTGACGAGTGCCTGATTCCACCGCGTCGTGACACATATTTTTTCTGAGTAATAAAGTATAACACCTCTTATTCTCCAAACAGCTATCACAACCCACAACTGTTGTTCAACCTTACATACATTTCTTCACATAGAGACAATCTAACAGTAGAGATGCAAACCATATTTCCTTTTTCAAATTCATACGCAGACATTGATTCTTGGGACTAAAGACCATTTTCCCCCTTACAACCCCAGTCATGTACAT